AAAAAATTAATTAAACCCCAAATAAACTAGGTTTACAGATAAATACACTTTACTGTAGTTCTTAAATAAAAAGAATTAGAATATGTATGTGTTAGGTTCATTCATCCTAGAATGACTTGAAATCAACTCATGCCAAAGGTCGATTAAAGCAGTTTCTCTTAGAAAGTTTTGTTTACATAGAGATCTCCCATTAAGTATGTTTATATGACATCTTAATGAAGACAAAAACAATTATTTCTTTTGTTATGTTTTATGTCCAGACTTACTGAAGTAGGTTTGGGTTGGAGGAAATTATTAAAAGAGTGGGCCTTTAAAAGATAATTTGCCTGGTCTGTGGGTGGTTTATTCACTACGTTGTTTATGGTTTTTGGTTACATATTTGCAAAAATAATTTGGTGTTTACACAAGGCAGATGGTATTTGCAGCAAACACTATTCAATAATTTAAAGATTTTGCTACTTTATATAAAACTTTATATTTTATTTTTTCACTAGTTCGACCATGTTTTCAATACCAGTAGCATTTAATGAGCTCTAGGAAAGTTAAATCAAAAAAACAAGTCAATGAAATAATGAAGACAAACCTGAACTTGTCTTAACAATGGTGTGTATGCTAGCAGAGACAGTTTCAGGGATTGTTGTTACCAAGACATTTAACACAGTGTGAAGCACTTTTTTTTTTTTTTTTAATTGAGAAAACTTTGCTGTAATAAAGCAGTTTAGTATTTCAACTGCTATTTAGGCTATGGAAAAATTATTATAATACAATAATTCTATGAGCTACTTCCCTTGAAAGGCAATGACTCCCAGTGAGGTCCTGCAAATACCACAGACATTTCCATGTGCAAGTGCAAAATAGAGTCTTATTTCTGAATGGTGGCTTTCTTTCAGTTCAGATTTAAAGAGGCATCAGCTGCTGAGATGTCTTTGCTTGATATGAAACCGGGGGAATAATGTTTTTTACTATGGGAGGCTTTGACAAAGGCTATGCTGGACAAGGATTCCTGGGAGTGTCTACTATTGCCAAAAAGCAATTGTAATATAGATATCAGTTTTGTTAGCGAATTGATTTGTTTCGGAAAATAATTTTTGTTCTACTATACGCATCAGACTTTGGCTGACCAATAATGTCTTAAGAAAATACATGTATTTTTTCAGCAAGTGGCTCTAGCATTTACTTGGTCGTGGATTATTGTGCAGATTGATTATTTTTTAAATTAGTGGTTAACATGAGAAGAAAGTATTCTCTTTACTTTCCTGAAGAACACTGACAGTCTGAAAGTGCCATAATTAGGCTGCTCAGATATTGCCATCTGAAGCTTTGGGTCAGGGTCAAATTTGTGATATTTGGGGTCAACAGGGTAAATTTCATGATATTTTTATTCATGTCGTTGTGGTGAGGAAAGTAATTACTTCTTTCCTCTGCATATTACACCTTGTAGCCCAGCCCAGAGCTCTTCCAGTCATCTCCTAGTATGCAAAAGGGAGTTTTCTAACAATTAGTCCATGAGCTACTTTGTCCTTCCCTTTGCTTCTTTTTGCATGTGGATGGAAGAAGCAGTGTGGGTGCAGCACTGGATGAGACCTAAGGGAATGAATAGGACCCAAAAACTGCAGAAATGCTTTGTCCATAAGGCAAGAAGGATCAGTTCCAACCTCAGCCTTAGAAGTTCAGCAGATCTTCTGCACTTCAGGGAGGAAGAGGTATTGCTTTATTAGTTTTATCTGCTCTGTGAAGAAACTGAGGACATGCTTTGTCCATAAGGCAAGAAGGATCAGTTCCAACCTCAGCCTTAGAAGTTCAGCAGATCTTCTGCACTTCAGGGAGGAAGAGGTACTGCTTTATTAGTTTTATCTGCTCTGTGAAGAAACTGAGGACTTCAGTACCAAGGCTGACTGAGGCACTCTGCAAAAGCAGTAAATCAACCTGATTTTTGCAAGGCACTCTAAGTATTTAAAACCAAAGGCAATACTTGGATATAGATGCCATGATACTGAAGAAATTAAAAAACTCCACATTTGCCTGGTACTTTTCAGTCAGCCTCAGCAGCTTATTAACGCTAATGCAAGCTAAATAACTATTATAATAATATTGTTTTATTGTAAAAAAATTATCTTTCAATTCTGATATTCTGTTGACTGAATAGGTAGAGAAGTAAATACACTGCTGTTAAATATTCTTTATAAATGACTGAAAAGTGGTGAAGGAACAAAAAATAATTTCTGAATGCAAGTTTCTCCTTGGGGAATTTAGAGCAGATGTGCTCTAAATAAGCCCTGGTACTTTTATGAAGGCCATGAAGTGGGGCTGTAAAAAGGTGCTGAAGCAGCTTCATGGGTCATGGTTCATTAACTCTAATTGTCACGTCTGGATTCCATCTGATGGATGACCAGGTCCTTCCTTTCTCACATCCGCTTTCTCACTGTCTTCAGGTGACCAGCATCCATCCACAGATACCTCTTTCACGAGTGTTTCCAACAGTGGACTTGGGTAATATTCTAAACCACTTCACTCATATTCGAATGCTTCTTTTTCTTGTTGGATTTTCTCCTTCTCTTGTTTTCTTCCTGTGTGTAGCTTTTCTCTGGCAAGAATAAAGCCACCATTAATGAAAAGCATTTTAGATGTGGAGGCATGACGTTACAGAAAGGTTTTCCTAATTGACAAGACTTATTTCTGAAGGTCACTAAGTTTTTACACACATTGAAAATGGAAAATGTAAAAAGCCTTATCAAGCACCATGTGCCTTCTGATTTCAGGCTTGCTATAGGGAGTGAAGAAGCAATGTTTTACATACCGCCCACGTAAGACAACCACATAATTTATAGTGTGGGGCCATCTGTGTGTTTCCCAAGTTCTTGGTTTTTTATTAGAATTAGCTCTGAGCCAAAAGCAGAACATTAACTCTAAGGGAGAGGAAAAGATGTGAAATAAGTAAAGAATGTTCCTCCCTTTATTTCAGGCTATTTGTGACTGAAAATTTTGTCATGATTGTTTGCAAGGGGAAGGAAAATCAGTTAATTGAGTTAATGAAATTAAGTAATTAATGCTTTCAGACCAATGTCAAATAGCATTTCTTTAGCAGTGAATATATTTCATTTGTACATAGAACTGTCTGGTTTCCCCACTAAAAATAGCCAAAACATTTCAGAACTTGGAAATTTTTTGGCAAGTCTAATTCCAAAGCATAACCAAAACCTCATGTCATGGTAACAGAAAGAATAATCTTTCATTATTATGGGAGATTACAATTTGGATTTCAGTGTGGCTTAAGAACTTTCCTTAAAATAAGTAAATAAATAATGATGTGGTTTTAAGGGATAATTTCATTAGCATGATTGGTAGAAGGAAATTTTCTGAAATCAAGAAAAAAGATCTGTAAATCTGAACACATTTTCTGAGTTTACAAAACCAAAGTCTAACATTTCATAAGGTTGTACTTTCTTCGCTGTTAATATTGTCATAAGTATTCAAACCATCTTTAATTTTATAACCCTGATATACTGTGCCAAAGAAATCAATAAACTTTAAGCATGTGAAACAGTGGAAACACTTCATATATTACTTTTAAATGTATCAAATTGTTTATACATGTAGCTAAAGTTTTGAAAATAATTCTTACAAATCCACTTCACAATTAATAGCACACAAATAACTTTCTAGAACTTGCCAATATTAAATATCTGTAAGTGTATTTTTTTTGAGTACGTTCGATTTTTGTTAACAATTTTTTCCCCCTCAGAATGCCACCATCCTAGGATATGTCTATCAGTACTGTCTGATACTGATTTTTCAAAATACTTTCAGCATTTATATTTCTTTAAAAGTATTTCCTGTATTTTAAAATAGGAAGAAATATTACAGATAAACTGAGTATCCAACTTCCCACTTCTGCTAACTTGCTAAAAGTTCAGTTATTGATAAATGCACTTGCTGTCAATGTAATTTATCAGTGTTACCACAGTATTATTCACTTGTTTTGGGTGTATTACCTGAGCAGATTTTTAATGCTTTTAGTTACAATCCTAAAAAAATATAATATGCCTAACAAAATAAAACCAGCCTCTCTTATCTCTGTTTCAATATGTCTTGTGATTTTTATTAAAAGAACTTTCCTGTTTTCTAAAACAGTCTAGTTCCGCTCTACAGTATAAAGTCACTACTTCACTCTGGGCTTTGTATACTTATTTAATTATTTTACAGCCACCACTTTTTCATTATTTATTACAAGCTGGGATCAAACTAATCCTGGTTCAGCCATGGCATGCTATGCTCATTAATTTTTAAGTCTGCAGTTTTCTCCAAAGTGTCCATGTGCCAGAGGGCATTAAACAGAGATGAAAGCTGGTGGCTTATTCAACAGCATCTCTGGCCTTTAGTCTCACCATACTTTTGTATTTTTACTGCCTGAAAATGGACTTTTTTTTTTCTCCTGCATTTTATCTCTAGGTAAGGAGCTTGCTGACTGTTTTCACACTGCAATATTTAAACTTCAGCCTGTTGTGGGCCTTTTGATTTTCTATACTAACAGAAGGAAATGAGAGGTTCTTAAATGTACACAGAAACCATTTTTATGCAGAGCTCTCACTTCTTCAATCTCCAGTGTTAACTTATTTCTTTGGTTTCCACTTTTCCTATGGGAAGCTCTACTACTCTGCTTCACTTTACTGTTTCATATGCATCTCAGTCATGTTTTCAGATGTTTGACCTTTACTAGTTGAAGAAAAAAGAATATAGTTTCTGCTTTGATAGCATTCAAACCCTGAAATATATCATTAGGGAGTTACTCAATTTCCAGCTCTTTTCTATTGGACCACCTCTAGTGGTTTTAAAATTGCAGTCATTGCATAGGCTTAACATACTTTGATATCTGATCTATACAATCTGCCATCAAAGAAAACAAGGCAAACATATATATTTGACCTATTGCATAAATTTGCAGCAAGGAAAAAGATTGCATTTCCTGAGAAGACTGCTGGTGCCTTTAGATACTGTGACATCTAGCTTGAATTTCTTTTTTTTTCCTTTTTTTTTTTTTGTTATTCTCTCCTCTTCATGTACTTCTCTGTACTTTCTCCATGACTGACTTGTCCTGAAGTCCTTAGGCATCTGTGTTCTTCCCTTTAAAAGACGCACTTTTGTTTTTGCAGCCTTCCAAAGAACAGTTATTCAACACTCAAAGTACTTGTCTAACCTCTTCTTAAATTATGTCCTCCTATATTTGAACTGTTACTAGATGGAGGCCTTTGCTCTGGCCTTGGTAGCACACCTTTTTAGAATTGTTCTCTCTGGATGGGCTCACAAGTCTTATTTCTCTTGTTTATGCTGTGGTCTGAATCGAACACTGACAATTTATGTGAGCAAAACAAGCTCCAGATGAGCCATCCTACCTGCTTGTGTACAAAGGGACTGCTCTGGGTTACCTGATCACTACTAACTTCCAATGCCTCTGTTATTAATTGTCTCACAATGTTTCCAATTTTTATAAATATTTTTTATATGAAGAGGTCACTGAAAAACAGCTATGCTTTTACCTTAAGTTTGCCTGTTTATGCCTTATTACTTTTAATTCTGCCTCATTAAGGGTTAGTATTTTCTCTTTCTCTTTCTCCTCCTGATCCTTAGGTTATCTTCCATTGAAATCACAATAGCAATCTCTTAGTGTTGTTGTTGGTTTGGGGTTTTTTACAACTTTGTCAGCTTCCCCCAGGCTGAAAAGTTTTCTTGAGGTTCTGGAAGTCAGGAGCATCCTTTTACATGGAGCAGAGAGAACAGAAATCTTTAACTTAGAGGTTGGTAGATCCCTCCCTGTATTTCAGTGCAAGTTGCATGAAATTCAACCATAATGAAGAAATATATTGCTTTTTATTTTAAAATATTTTCATATTTTAAAAACATGTTTTATAAGTAATTTTTTCTACTTAATCTTAGATATCAGTCTTAGTAGCAAAATTATCTAGAAGGAGGGGGATTTTATTTTTAAGCAGTGCAACAAAGCTTATCTTTGTTATAAACCAGTTTGAGGACAGATCCATCACTTTTTTGCAAAAATCTGCCCCCACCTTTTCTTCACACTCCATCACCCACAAACAAAATGTCTCTCAAATTGAAGGCTGTATAGTGAAGAATACAGGAGACTAAAGAAAACAAATTTTATTTTGAGATATGTTAGCAAGATTCCAGCTGGCTCTGGCAAAAGCCTGCCCAAGGTCACTTCTCTGTGTTTCTGCAGTTGCCTCTCCTTCACAGGTGCAGTTAAGCACTGGCCTGAGAGAGCTGTGTGGTGTCAGTGGAGACAGGGGCAGAGCTCAGAGAAATAGAGAATAGAACATGGGAGCCAAGCAGAAGCATCAAATAATTTCAGATTTCACTCACATTTTAAACATTTCTAGCTCCAAGATGAGTCTGAGTGCATGCTCACACTTGTGGCTTTGCCATCCTTGAAGAATGTTCTAGGGCACAAAGCCAGCAGAACTCCCTGAATTGGTGAGCCTTTCCCTTCCATATTCTTTTAGACATGAATGCTCCCACAGGCAGAGAACTACTTGTAAAACATAGTCCTCAAAAAGGCTTTTCTAGAGACCACGTACAGAGTTGGAGTGCAAGAGTATCATGTTTTTAAGGGGAAAATAGAATTAGAAGACAGAGAACAGAAGCTTGCAGAGTAATCTCATTTATTGCCTTCTTTGAAACCAAACTGTTATTTTCTAATCTGGGAAGGACTACTTAACCTCTCTGGCACTTAATTTGTTATACATATTATATATATATATATATATATATATATATATATATGTGTATGTGTGTGTGTATGTATATATATGTATATGTATATATCAGCAACGTTTACCTCCCAGGGAAAGAAAAACTGTTGTATACTTCTGAGTTTAGTAAAAATGTCATCAAATCCATGAGTGTTACTCAACATTTCAAAAGCAATCCTTTGACAGCAATATGGACTGAATTTAGTCCTAAAATAATATATGCCAGTTCCTTAGGGATTCCTGGGAAAGTCTTAGTGTTCACTCTTACTCCCACATTATTAGTTTGAAAACACAGAGCTGTTTTTTTCTTTCTTTTTTATCCTCCCCTGTAGGGCTTTTCAAAGGTGACTTATTTTCCCTGAGTTTTGCCACTGAAGGGAGTTATTGAACTTTAAACTTTATATGCTGGGAGGCAAAGGGGTGACAGGAAAGCACCCTGGCAATATTTTTGTATGTGGGAAGACTAGCTGTAGGCCTATTAGGTTTCTCAAAAAGTTTTCTCAAAGAAAAAAACCAACAAAAAACCCAAACCAACAAAAACCAAGACAATAAAACTATCTAGCTCATAGAGACCTAGATCCCTTGGATTTGGTGTTTGATGTTGATACTACTGTCTTTAAATACCTCAGTTTTGTTCTGATCAGCACATGGCATCTCATGGTCCACTTATCATGGCTTTTTTGAGTCGAAATAATGCATTCAATCTGCACTTGATGGAGCAGTGGCAGATGATGTTTACGAATGAAGACGTCTCCCTGGTCCTTCCACTGAGGACCTTTCATCCCCCTCTTCCTCTTCTGGCCTGTAGACTCTGAAGTACTTTTCTAGCAACTAAAATTGTTTATAAAATACCTTCAGACAAAGGAGTTGCTATAATTATTTCAGATTAAATACATTCTTTTATTTAATTATTCATCAATTACCTGCAAGTTTTCACCTCTAGGACCATGCCTGTGTTGCCATACAGATGGTTGTGCTTCAGCATTTCCTGTAGTTCCATCCAGCCAAGGTGCTACTGTCATTAAATCTGTACACCATGGGTGGCCCTATACCGATTTTTTCATCAGAGTAAAAGGCCCTACATTTTCATTATTCAGTGATAGCCTGGTTTTAGTAGTACATCTGAAAATTCTGCTGTAAGCTATATTCTTTCCCCCAAACCTCCATGATTCTTAAAAGAAATTTATATATGATACAGAGAAGAATATTAAATATAAAAATCCTCCCACAGGATTTAATTCTCTACAATTTTAAAGTACTTTACTTTAAATAATCAAATTTGGAACAGAATTATATCAGCTCCCACTTTTAGTGTCTTCAAAGAGCTGAATATTTGGGTTACTTATATTTTTAGAATGTCCTCCTCTTGCATTGATCTTCTATTAGGTGTAACACTGGTCTTAAGTACATTTGCTATTTTTGCTTTAGGGCTAAAAGTTTCTTTGAGCATAAATCACATACAGTTTTATTACTGATTTGTGAAAGGGATATTCAGATCAACACAAGCTCTCTCTGAACTTGAGAAATTGTGAAATGCAACTCAGGCTTTTTCGAAACTACTTCAAATGGAAATTCATAAGGAATCTTTAAATTATAAAGCAAGAAATGAGGAAAAGCTGGAATGTACCCCCATCCTCTCATATGTCTAAGGATGTCATTGCCCCTTCCTTGGTGCTTTGATAATATTATGTGACACATGCTGTGATTGAGGCCAGACATAAACATGGTTCTGAAGGGATTCTGATTCTGAAGCCCAAGTGAGTCTTTTCCACTGTAAACCTCATTTCTAAGGACTGCAAGTAGTAAAAGGAACATATGGCACATACTGAGGGGTCTTAAGTGTTGTGGTGATTTCATTCAATTTAACAACCATTATTAAAATATCTGCTGTGACACCCAAGTAGTACTTCTGAAGTCCATAGTGCAGTGTAAAAAGCAGCAGAGTTTAAAGCAGTTACTGAAAAATACCTTTCTTTTTTTACTACAGTATCAAACACGATGGTAAGGAGCTCACATTTATGGTTGATTTTAAACCCAGGAATATGAATTCCAAATTCTCTTTCATCAAATGAACTGAAATTTTACTGTAATTTCACTTAAGTAGGTAGAATACTTCTGAATAATTTATAATACAAGTAAACTTTTGACCTCTTATTAGAGAGATCCTTAAAATAGTTTAAAGAGTTTTCACACAGGGCAAGATCAAACACTAATGATAGAAGGAACATAGGTGTTAAAGGAAAGTGCTGATTGTAGCAAAGTCTGAAAAACACTAATTACATTATTCTAAGCAGTGACACAATCTTTAATAAGATGTGAAAGTAACCTGACAAAAGTTAGGCAGCAGAGAAAAAAATCATTAAGTGACTGGGTAATCTCACAGTCTTTAATGTTATTAATTATGTCAATGGGGTGAACAAAAAGCCCCAAGCTAAAGAGCCTACACCTGACTATTTTGCTGCTTTAGAATTTGAAAATACTGACCTCTAGAGCAGAATGCATCAAGCATGTGAATTGTGCTATCTCCCCTTTTCATGGAATGAAACTGGTACTAAATTATCAAATCGATGCAAGCCACTAAGGACTGTCCCAAGGATGGTGAAAAGTGTCCCTTTCTGATAAAGGGAAGGTTAAACATTAATTCTCCAGGTTTCCTCCTGCAGATCTAACACTGTTGTTACGTGCTTTAATTTTCCCTCGTAAGAATGGATGCATGGCCAAGGCTCTTTATTCCTGAAATTGTGCTTTGTAGGTAACATACAGGTGAAGATTGATTCAGCTGGGATGAAAATGTGTAGAAAACTTTATCATGTCATGCAAAGTTTCTTATTCAAAATTATTCAGTAATTCCTAGTAATCAGTAACAAAAAAATATGTTATGTGATTAGATATTGCCTTTTGCATGATATTTTATTCTCCATTATAATCAGATTTATTGACTAGTAGGAAACGATGTTACTCTCTTTCTTTCTTGGAGTTCTCAGGACTTGGCCCATACCTATCTCATTCTGTGAAATAGTGGCTGATGTACAACATTTATTGCTCCCTTTGGTGTGATTTTGAAGGTTTTAGCATATGTCATTTTTCTAGACATAACCTGTTCTTTGTAAATGTGTGATCACTAAGTTTGCTTAGTGAGCCTTAATTTTTATAAGAAAAAGAATCAGAAGGGGCTTTGTCTGCAGATTTGTGTGCTTGCAGCATTCTGTATGAATCCATGGCCTTACAAGGCTCACTAGCAGTTTGTAAACAAAAGAAATTATCTTTAGAGATATAATGGAAATATTAAACTTTCCTAATATACAACTTACCAAAAATATTAGAAGTATCTTAAACGTTAGAAGATACATTTCTTGAGTGCATTTACTGTTTGTACCTGTTTGTACTTCTCGCTGTTTAGTATGTCAGCACTCAAATCATTACAAGTGAAGTCTTCAAAGAGATCAGCTCAGACAACTCAGTTTTTAGGGTCACTATTCTTAAACATGGAAAAATTTAAGTACTTTTAATACAAGTAAATTTTTAAAATTGTGGTTTAGTGTAGGCAATACTTCCTTTATTTCCACTATATGAATAGTTTGTTTGTTTATTTTTCTGTAAAAAAGAATATAGATAAGGAGAAATAAATTTTCTGGGTATCTTCCTTGCTGTCTTATCATTTGGATTATGCTGTGTAAGTGGAGCAAAAGAGTAAATTTCTTCCACTGAAATTCAATTAGTGCATATGAAATCAAATTTCCCTGAGGCAAAAATCTGCTAAGTAAATAGAACTCCCTTGCTGCACCTGTGTTTGGAATAGCTTGTCATGCAATGGAGATATGAATGGCAAAACAGGCATTTTAATCTTCAGACTTGAGATTTCAATTCTAGCAGACACTGCTGAAAGCAGAGCTTCCAGGGATTCATGAATTGTTTCTGGTCTTTGCAAGATAATTCTCCTCCAAGTAGCAGAGCTAGTGGCTCACAGTGACTACACATCTCCCTCCAGTGGGAGATTTATTGCATAGACTCTGCTTGGAACTGTTCTTCTCATGACTGTCTGTTCTTGGCAGCAAATGCATCACAAGTTCTTAAAATCCCACTCTCTTTTACCTTTTTACAGTAAATCTGTTATCTTTTATATTCCTTAGAACAAAACTCTGTGAAGTACACTGCACTGTGCCTCAAGGAGTTGTTGTTGGGTTCCTGACAGGGATACTGGTCAAATTGGGAAAAGAATTAAAGGCAAGGCTTACCTCCTACACAGAAGAAAGGATCCTAGAAAATCAGAAGACTGCTTTCTCACAGCTATTCCTTACATAAAGAGCTACAGTGGCACTGGGCCATGGAAATTATGTTCCATGGAAGTTGTGACAGTGGGTTTGGCCTCTTCTAAAAGGGCAGCAGCAAACACGTGCTGCAGCCTCCATCAGAACATCACACCACTACAGATTTCCAAATTATACTCTAATCCATGTCCTGCAGATTGTGCCAGATGCCAGCCTGCTGGCATCTAACTGTAAGGAACAACGTGTAATGCCAGCAAAAAAGGCTCTAGAACACAGCCAATGAGTATATTCTTGATTTTACATTTAGACTTTCTGTAAGCTTCTGTACTACTTCCAGTAGCTACTGTTATGCATAATGATGCATGCATTATTTTAAATTTAGTTTTCTGAGTTAAGTTTCCTTATGACAAACTGAGTGAAACATTCCTGCATTTTTCCACAATGTTTTTCTACTTGTTCATTGCCCTTCCTCAAGCATCTCGGTTGTCATGTTATGAGAAGTTTCTCTTACTTCCACCTCAGTTAATGAATAAATGCTCTCAGATTTCTTATTTTTCTTCCCTGAACAAAGAACATTGTTCCAAATATTCTCCTTCTCTTCTTCAGGTAGATATCCTTTGAAGGATGACATTCTTTACATTTGCATGAATTGTTGCATTTGCTCAAAGGTAGAATAATCTTACAGAACATGCCCTCATTTTTCTGAGGGAGGAAAACACTTATCTTCTAATAGAAGGTAAGCATACTTCTCACTTTCTAATTACTCTATTTGATATGTCTAGTTTGCCACACTTGGCCATGCACACTCCTCTCTCCCAGTCTATTGAAGTGGCAAATCTGAGCACTGGCTTCTGAGCTAGAACAGGAACGGCTAATTTGCACTGCATCCCCCGCTACACAGTACCATGATAAAATACTGTAATATGTGGTGAGATTGGTTTTTCAGAACAATTTCCCTCAAAGCTTGCCTTAGAAGCTTGAGAAATACAGGATAACATTTCAATTTCTCATTTCCTTAACCTAAATAAATATCTGAAAAATACACACTATGTTTGGTGTAGTGGGAAAAGCAAATGATGTGGAAACTTCCTGGCCACAGGAGAAAATAAAACAAGCACAGTCATATTCCCCCAAAAAAGTACAACTGTCTTCTCTTAAATAACTGAACTGGAATATAAATTAGAACCCTCCTGTAGCCCTTTTTTTCTGTTCGGATAACATGCAAGAGGGGAGGCGAAGGAGACTTCTTCCAGCTGTGAGTAGAATGCAGGGGCCCAGTGCTGTATGAGTGTGCTAAAAGGCTGATGAAGGACAGCACCCCATTGAAACACGTTTCACTTAGCTCTTCTAACCAGACATCTGTCAATGTTAGTGCAAAGGGGGTGTAGGGTTTTCATTCTCCTTTTGCCCCTTAACTTAGGAAGAAGGCTTTTTATAGATTCCCTGCTTGCTGGTCTTTTCTCTAAATGCAGATTTTAAAAAAGCATTGAAGGAGAAAGGCATAAACATGGTTACAAAGCTCTGCTACTGCAGAAGGATGCTGCCTGAATTCAGGGGTTATTTAACTAGAGTAGTAAGCATGAATTGTTCTCACAACAATTCTGTCCAAAATAATTTCATACAAAGTTCTTTGAATATAGTTCTATTTAGCAAAGTGAGTCCTAGGCCTGCTGAGGCCACACCAAAGTTTTTGAGATATTTGGCATTTATGAGCTCTTAAATCAAGATTCTGCTCCCATACAGTGCTCAGCAGAAGATTCAGCTTTCTCTTTGAAAGTGTGGTTGTGGTGAGATAAACAGATCAAGTGAAAAGTTTGCATGCAGTTTTGACACTAAGAAGATGCTGTCAGTCGCTCTACAACTCTGTTGTGAGTCACTGTGGAAGCTGAGGACAAGGAAAGGGACCTAACCTTGTCTTTGCACAATGGCAGGCATAAGTTAAAATCAAAATGATTCTGTTAACTTTCTTTTTTGATCTCATAAGACATATCTCAGTTATAGACTGGTGAAACAGGGTCTCATTTCCAAGTTCCTGCCTCTGCAGAATTTGTTGGTTGCCACAAGGACTGCATGCCTTGCAGCGCATGCTTCCCACATCCTGCTCAGAGCGAGAGGAGTGGCTTCTCTTGCCATGTCAGTACAACAGACTTCTGCCAGGAAAAACTGCTTGTGTCCACGCTGTCTGAATGAGGTCAGTTCTCATGGCAACCACACTTTATCCACAGAAATGTGCATTGTTTTCAGGCACTTTCCCCTTCTGTGCAGAAATGATGTAAGATTTGAGGGAGCAGAAGAGCAAGAAAGAAACCTCATTGACATGCAAGCGGCAAGCGCTGTGACACTTCCTTACCTTTCATGCTGTCAGCTATTGTTTCACAGATTACTAGGCAGGCCAGAGTTTTACAATATGAGACATACATTGAGAGCACTCTGTTAGGGTTGCTCAAAAAACGTCCATAAAATAAATTTCATATTTTTGACAGAAATCAAGGTAACACAGGATTAGTTTCTGTCATACATGGCAGAAACAACAGCTATATTGCTGTGTGCCTCAGGAGTTTATTGCAGTCCCTTTCTCCCTACCTCCTTTCCTTTCCCACTTCTCCAGTTTGGGGAAGCTTAGCAGGGGTAGGGTGATCCAACGGGAGGCTGGGAAGAGGAGAGGAACTCCTTTACTGATAGGGATGGCCAGAGCTCCCTGCTCCCGCTCCACTCCAGCAGCCTCGCTGATACTCCTGCCAGCAAGAGATCAGATGGCATGAAGGTGGCTGTGACAGCACTCCTGTGACACGGGAATGCTCTGCTGAGGGTGTAAGGTTATGTTAAATCTTTGCAGAACTAGCAGGGGATGTGGTTGGGGTTTTATTCAGATTTCAGAATCTTTTGAATGGGAGAAAGACATCCCCACCCGTGCTTTTAATGGCATTTTCACTCTCTTAAAAAGCAGCAAATTCTTGGCTTCAGCCTTATGAAAACAAACATTTACCTTGATTACAAGAACATTCTTAGTTTTGTCAACCGAAGCACTTTCTAACTCCTCAGACCATGAATCAGAACTGCTGCCAGGAGAAAATCCTCCCCTGCTGAGAGCAGAGGTTGCTCGCTGCGCTATCTCGGCTGCGTGGCGCAGCTCCGGCCAAGTGGGCAGAGCCGGCTCTAAAGGGTTTCCTTCTCAGACCTCACACAATTTCTATGCTAGTGACTTTCACTGATCCCCTAAGCAATTACTCTCTGCCCCTTTAGGAATACTATTCCTAAAGCTGGCGTAGGGTACTGTAAGTCTATCGGCAAGATAAAGCGCAAAACATGTAGTTAGAAAATTAGTTAGTAAAACCTGTAAAGTACTACATTTATTTTAGTTCATTACCTTCTTTGTTGTCATGGGAGTCACTGTAGATAGAAGCCAGGGTAAACAAGGTGAAAATGACAAAAGCCAGCAAGATGAAAGCTACTTCAAGGTTTGTGAAGGGCAGCTCCATGAACTGCTACTGCTTCGCCTAGGAAAAAGTGTAAAAGCGTTTACTCATCTGACTGGCTGTGGAAAGGGACTGCTCTCAATGGAGCAGTTAAGTCTTTACTCAGGAGGATACTAGATCCTGGTCAAACTGGTTAAGTCACTTCGGTGGTTAAGAGGGAAACAATGCTGCTGGCTCATACAAGAATGTAAGCTCAAACCCTTTTTACCGAGGGTTCAGAATGTGCTGTTGCTCCGGGGGACACTTTGAGCAGCTGCACTTAACTCTATGGGCAAATATATCTATATGCTATATTTATTTTTATATGTTTTTGTGTGCAAGGCATTTAATAACAGAAACATACCTGGACTCCGAGAGACTGTTAAACTCCATTTATTAAAACAAAAATTATCTCTAATGATTTGTAGGAAAGCATAGAATTTTCTTAATAGAAAAACTGCTAGAATATAAACCCCCCTGCCTTCTGTGTAGTGGAAAGTTTAACATGTATTAGAGAAAGCTCAAACATTACCACCAAATTGCCAATCAAATTCCAGTCAATAGTCCAGGAATTCTGAAGTCAGTGGATTTAAAGTGTTCAATTGCCCATATGATTTAGCTCTAAAAAACATTCGCCCAGAAAACTTAAAACCAAGAAGTCTGATACATTTCTACGGAGTTTTGTGGGGGGGAAATTTTTAAAAAAGGGAAAAAAAAAAGAAAGAAAAAGATAACGACTTTTAGTAAGTAAAGAGAAGCTGGCACTTACTGATTGCCAGCTATTTGTGTACATATTCCACTGGGTTTTCTTCAAAAGCATCCCAGTTCTATGAAATGGACCGAATTAATCACCCGAAGCTGGGAGGACCTAAAATGTAACGTGATTCCCTGTTGCTTTCCAGCCGCTGCCTTGCTCTCGCAGGTACAGCCCACACCAGACCAGGGGGTGGTGAAAGTGGCAGGAGAGGCACAGCTCGACAGGACACTTGTTTCTCCCGTACCTGCCTCCAGGATGCTGGCATATGAAAGCAGTATGAAGGCACATAAATTGTAGCAATGCCTTTGGGGCAGTCAAGACTGAAGTTTGCACCTTGTAAATCGTGTTGGATTTTAAGCTCTAGTGAAATATTAACATGATTGTAAACAAGACTAACAAGTATAAGAAAGAAACCCAGCTCAGAAAATGTATGAGCAAGAACTTTAAAATTCAGGTCTATACGGATATAAGCAATAATAATTAGAATGATATCACTGTGTCAGTAAAAACCAAACCCATATAGGTTCAACTTATATGAAAGAAGATCCTTTTGAAGGACCTTTCTGATCAGTCTGTGAGGTTTTTCCCTTTTGAGCCTTGGTTTGAAAAACACAGACATTGTTTATACAAACTAAACTATAAAGCATAAACCACCTTGGATTGCATTAGCTACATGTTAGTTAAAAGGGATCTCTAAACTGTATTTTTTAATATTCTGATTATTCTATTTAAAAATATAAAGTATTTTGACATTGCTCTTTCTGATCTTTTGTATAGTGATCTAAGCAGGAATATTTCCATTGCAGGAAAAGGAATGATGCTTATGAAAACTCATGTCAATACATAAGAATAGAACATATAAAATAGAACCACTCTTAAATTGTGGACATGATTTGAACATTGTCACATCCAATGTATATTTTGCTGGATCACCTTGCAACAAATATTTCATTAGCATTCATTATTATAAATCTCTCTTTATTATTTCTAGCAGTGAAATAGTAGTTACACATACTTATCTTCTTTGTCTACATGATGGATTCATTGCCCCATTTTATTAAATAAACCAAGGATTAGTTATTTCAGTCAGAGGAAAACTTACACCTGTATATACATTGAAAAATCTCTGATTGACTGTATTTATACTTTCTTGCTCTTTGCAACAGATATTTATATATCTGCCTGAAATTAGATGTGAATTCAAATTTTACAGCTTTTCCATAAAGAGAGTCAAATTCTTCTACTTCCCTTATCTCAATAAAGCTGCTGAATCTTTCACAGTGTGCTTAAATGATAGAAATAAATTTATGTGCAGTTAAAGAATGGGCCTGTTTCCTGAAATCATGCTACAGTTGATGACAGGTTTTTTATATAATAGCCTGCAATTTCTTTAAGCAAAACTGATGTATTTTGTATTGCTGGGCATATGTGTAGTACATTCATTTATATAAATGAGTATTTTACCTGTACATTATTAAATACATTGTTAAATATCAGTCTGTCATGGCTTAACCCCAGCCAGCAGCCAAGCCCAAGCAGTTGCTTCCTCACTTTACCCCCAGTGGGATTGGGAATAGAGCCAGAAGGGTAAAAGATAGAAAGCTCACTGAGATTAAGACAGTTTAACAGGAAAAGCAAAAGCAGCACACAAAAGCAAAGCAAAACAAGGAATGAATTCACTGCTTCCCAGGGCAGGCAGGTGTTCAGCCATCTGCAGGAGAGCAGGGCCCCAGCACAGGTAATGGTGACCTGGGGAGACAGGTGCCACCACTCCAAATATCCTCCCCTTCCCCCTTCTTCCCCCCTTTTATATACTGAGCGTGATGCCACATGGTGTGGGAATGTCCCTTTGGTCAGCTGGGGTCACCCAGCCTGGCTGTTATAAATTAGTGTAATTTGCCTACTTAAAGCTGCTGGAGGACCTGAGGAGCAGCTTCTTCAGGGAATTATAACCTTATTAGTCATGTGCTGTGGAAATAAAGGAGGTATTTTTTTTTAAACTTCTTAGCTATTTGGGCAGCATAGGTATATGCCTGCTCATTAGCTCCAAAGTGAACTGAAACAGAAAAAAATAAATGAGATAGTGATAGAAAGGTAAGAGAAGGGCTGTGGAAGAAACAGCCAGAGAAGCACCAGTAGAAAAAAGTAGACAAATGAATAAATTACAACATGTATAGAGTGTAAATATCAAAGACAACACAGCCTTTGGACTTACATATCTGTAGCTTCCTAGTTATCTCAGTATATCCTAAGTTCGTAATGGGTATCTTCTAGATTCTCATTTGTTGACTCTGCTCATTTTTTTTTCCTTGTGTTTTAATCTTATCAAGGCACAACTTAAGTCAGTTATGTTAGCTGTGAAGAATGCAATAAGGTATAACTTTAATATAGTATACTGAAAAATGACCAGTGCCATGTGAAGTAAGACATTTATTCACTTCATAGGATCTATCTTTATTAACAATTATGTATAAATGGTATTATAGAGATAAATTTGTCTTTCTCCCTAGGCCTTGCTGCTGCTATGGTTAATGATTGGGGAAAACTCCACTGAGAGCATACATCATTCTTTGTTATCTCAGGAAAGAAGCGAGATAACAATGTTAGTGAGTCAGCAAGGAACATAAAAAAGCTCTTGGTAAATAATAATAATAAAAAAGGCAGTTGTATAGTCATAATGCTATTACAAAAATAATGTGTATGTTTCTCTAAGTTTGCCTTTTTCTTACCTATGTTTGCAGCTAGACCATGTTGAGTTCAGGGGCATTTTCTATTTGTGGAAATTGCCAGTGACAGGTAGTTTTTCTAGCTACTCTTTTGTGGGTTTTTTGAGGGGTTGGTTTGTTGGTTTTCTTTTGGTTTGGTGTTTTTTTGTTGTTGTTGTTTAGATTGGTTGGTTGGTTTGGGTTTTTTGTTCTTCGGATGTTGTGGCCAATGTGTTTAATATTAAATGAACCTGTGTGACTTTAACTTTGCCGTCCACATGTTCTATGTTTTTACCTGCCTAAGGAACTAGCACAGTTTAAAAGGTGGAAAATCCTGCTGTATTTTGTATTTATTTCTGTGGTATTGATGACTTCATAACAGCAGTGGAATGAAATTTTATTTGTAAAACTGAACCTAACGCTGCTGATTTACCAGAACAATTCTAAATATGAGTGATTACTTTTATTATTTTTTGTTAATAACAGCTTGAAACCCTCACAGGTCAGAATGCAGATGAGTTCAGTGTAAAATTTGATTACTCTTGTTCTGTCTCATATAATCATCTCATATGATTATAAAGTAGTGCTAAGCACATCTTTATAATTTCTTTCATAATGCTTGAAGACATTTTCTGTGCAAGAATGCAACAATAAATAATCTATACATATTCTATTACAAAGGAAAGACACGTTCAGTGTGAAATGTGAACATGTGGCAAAACTTCTGGAGTGGGAGCAGGACTTTCCTTTAACCAACATAGCCTTGAAATTATTGGGGTTTAAGCCATTTGAAAGAAAAGATTTGTCAAAATGGAGTTTTCTATATCCCAGTGACAGTCACATATTACATAAAAATTTGGGAGGAGCTTGTACACACAGAGGATGGATCAGCTCAGGGCCAGGAGGATGCAGCCCATCCCTGTGCATTTCTCTCCAGAGCACCTTGTGGTAAACCAGTGCCAAACTGAGACTCTCATCATAGCCTGGGATGTTCAGCTGGTTTTACTCCAGGAAGAGTCAGCTCTGCAACAAATATGTGTGCAGGGAGAAGGGTTTCTTTGTCCTCTGTAATAAATAAAATTGTAATATTGTAATAGTATGTGTTTTAACCAAAGTGATCAGTGGGACTGTTACTTTGTGTGCTGTTACATTGAATTTGTATGGAGTGGTATTTCCAAAAGTATGCACACCAAATATTATTTCCTTTAAAATACCATGAACAAAATGGCAGACAGAAGACATTTCTTTCAGGGAAACTTAATCTTTCAAATTTAATTAGGGTTAATTGATCAGAGTTCCCCTCTCCTCCCCCCCCCCTTTTTTTTTTAATTGGCACTTGTAATAAGAATATAGAAATATCTTATTATTTAGCAAAATAATAACTTTAGATTAAGTGAACTATTGGGAAAGAAAGGATTCAAAATGTTAATCAAAATGCTAATTAAAATACAATATTTTGCCTTCACTCAGAATCTCAACTTGAAAAAAATGGCTAAAAATGTTTTGAAAATCTCTTGTTTTTATATTTTTTTTTTCCCTTTTAGCAATTATTACACAAACTCTCTGTCTGTGTGTCTAAGCGTCTGGATAGCTCTACTTCAGTGGAGGTTCTTAGTGACTCAGCTTTTCTAAGAGAAGGTTAATGATTTTTAATAAGCTAAATTGTGGGATGCAGGATACACCAACAACTGCAATCCAGCAACTTGCCAATTGTGATA